GGTGGGTGGGGGGGGGGGGGGGGGGGGGGGGGGGGGGGGGGCATTGTATATCGATCAGTATCGTTAAGAGGCATAAGTTTCTCGAAGTCTACGTTGCAGATGATGATACGCTGTCATTACTCCGCGTTTTTTTTTCTGCAAACGACACGGCGCCGTTTCTTGATTCTGTATCGTGATTTTTGTGTCCAAAGGTTCGATGGCCGTGTTGTCGTCCGGATGCACAAAAAAGGCAATGGAATGACGACCTCGTCCGCAGTGTTCCGGCACAACGACGCGGTGTCTCAACGCCGGTAGTTGATTGTTGGTCCAGTTCGCCAGTATGTCGCCGGTGTTCACTAAAATGGCGCCCGGAAGATGGCCAACGCGTGCCCAACGTTCCCCGTGCGGAGTCTGTATTTCCAAACCTCCCTCGCAATCCTGTAAATAACGCCGAATTATTGGTAGATATTCTCTGGGCTCATGTCGCGAGCGTATCGTATTCAATTGAATTAAATTTATAAATATGTTTTAATATATAATATATTATTATATATAATATATATATATATATATATATATATATATATATATATATATATATATATATATATATATATATATATATATATATATATTATATAATATTTTATATATTTTTATTATATATATTAATGTTCAATATATCCGATTTCTTAACCGTTTCTTATATTGCGCCAAAAATGCGATAGCGCTCCTGTTTTTTTTTTATGCCAAGACTGCGGAGAGAGTAATAACGCTGCTCTAAATCACTAGAATTTGTGCGTCCGGTGAGCATATGATTTTTAATTGTTGTAATAATATTACATATTCCATATATCTACTTTCTTTTTTTTCTGTTAAATAACGGTGAAAACAATGCCTAAATATTTGGAGTGAAACTGACTCGGAATCGTGGACCGACGATGAAGTGCAAATTTGTGACAACGAAAGTGTGATAGCGGAAGTGATATTTACAATACAAGTGAGTTTAGTGTATTATTACATGTTTCACGTCATTTTAAACAACTTCTGATTCATTTCATTGCTATTGTAAATATTTATTGGAAACCAATAGTGATTCGATGACCCAATGAGGATACGTAATGAAATTATTTTTAAAAACTGGATTTGCAATGGAGTTGGAAAATTAGTTAGTACCTGAGCTATTAAGGTGAGAGTTCCATAGTCACAATGGGCGCCGCAACGAGCCAGTCCTGGCGCCGGTGCACCAAGGGGTGGATAGTAAAGTAGACGTAGCATGGATTCGTTGCCAGATTCCAGCATCCGCGAATGCTTCGAGAGCAGGAAGTCTGGTGATTGCTCTAGACCCACGGCAAGAGCCTGTAAAGGCATACATCACAGGGTTACTTACAGTTAGAGCAGCATGCCTGATTAAAATAATACTTCTAATGCTTCCAGGACGAGAAGAGTAGCTTTAAAAACTGATACACTTAGATAATTCCTTAAACTATTGAAACGAGAGGCTTGCGTCTTTACAAACTGGCAGTAACTCGTCAAATATGATCCGAGTCGTTGAATTCATTCCTCTGAAGAATTTTACTGCATTTGCACTACTAATTAACACTCGGACAGCAGGCGCGCGCTTTGCTTGGTCCCAGAGTACAAATATTATTATATTTGACTGTCTAGATTCTGATAATTAATTTAGGCTTTTATACGTATCGTTAAAGGTCTAAAAACTGAGAATAATGAGAATATTACAAATGGCCTACAAACGTCCTAAACAGTTACATTTTTGTGAGGAAGGTCCAGCTCTCGGGTGTTAAAGCGTGGAGCCAAGATACCATGTAAAAATCATCCAGTCAATGGTGGGCTCGGATTTTATAGTTCTATGCGTCCAACAATATTCGAAACACCGATTTAAACTGGATTCCGAATATATTTGGTTCCAAGGGAATTGAATAGCTCGACACAAAAGCTGGGCGAGTGGAAATATTTATGCAGACGGACGAGACACGCTCCGGAAGACAAAGAAGAACAACAGGCTCTGGCTTTTGTGTCGATCGTATCTTGGCTTTCACGCGTTATAATGGCGTTATAATTTCCCGCCTTACGGAATACTATTTAAAAGTCACCACGTTATTACAGTTAAGAGCATGGCGGAGAGTTGTCTGAAATCCCGCGTGAGATCGTCGACGGCCAATTTGAAGCTGGGCACTTCTGCATCGGGTAAAGGTCCTCCACTTCCGGTCACGTTAAAAGCATGCCGGGCTTCTTTCTCGTCGGTGTATCTGTAAACAGGTAAACGATCGTTAACTTGGCAGATTTCGAGAGCTCTCTCGTCTAATTGAAAATTTTCATTTAATTGGGAATTTCGATATTGTATGAATTATACGTAGAGATGCGCAGTCAAATGTATACAGGGTGTCCCGAAAATGTCTCGCAATCCGGAAATGGGAGGTTCTTGAGGTCATATGAAGCAACTTTTTCCTTTGCGAAAATTTTCACCGTGGCTTCGTTTACGAGTTATTAACGCTCTAATCAATGTTTCCAAGTGACGAATAAAATATATTTCTCGACTATTATTCTCGAGCAACGAATTTTTAGGAAATCGAATGCAAAATCGGTTGTGTTAATCGGTGAATTATGCGATGAATAATTACGTTGATGGTCCAGGTTTGATGTAACCGTGATTGCAGGGCGAGTTTTTTATATATTTGACACGCGTCTCCTCCGGTTGTTCGCAGAAAGCGTCGAGCGCTCTGTAGGCAGCCTTCATCTGTAAATAAACAAAATTTATATTACCCAATAATATTGTTAACAATAATGCTTATTATTCTAATTAGGTTGGTCGATGAATCTACAAATAGTTGCAGCTTTTTTCCCGTGAAAATTGAACAAAAATTAAATAAAAAACTGATAAAATTCAAGATGCTACTAGAAGAATTTTGGCAATTTGTTGATATTTTTTATAACCCATGAAAATGATCCAAGACAGAAATAAAATATTTACGCGGTTTCTTGAAAATGAAGAATTTTTTGTAAATAAGTCGCTATCAAAAATCTATGCGTTGGACAAAATTTTTGGACTCTGAAGCATCTTGAGTACATTCACGTCTGTCTCTTATCTTTCTGAGACACTTCTCATCATTACTGCAAGGTACACAGGGTAGATGTCCCAATTACAGTGCCTTCGAGCCAATATTTAAATGCATATTCTGCAGGGTGTCCCAAAAATGTCTCTCAATCCAGAAAGAGGTTCCCGAGATCATTTGAAGCAACTTTTTCCTTTGCGAAAATGTTCTACGACGCTTCGTTTACGAATTATCAACGAAAAACTCTGCCCAATGAGTGGCGAGCTCGGCCGGCGCGAAGCAGCCGCGCGCCAGTGAGCAGTCGAAGCCCCGTTCCGCTGATTGGCTCGGCCGCGGGGCGGCCTAGCGGCGCGCGCTCGCCTCTCATTGGTCAGCGTTTTTCGTTGATAACTCGTAAACGAAGCGTCGTAGAACATTTTCGCAAAGGAAAAAGTTGCTTCAAATGATCTCAGGAACCTATTTCCGGATTGCGAGACATTTTTGGATCACCCTGTATACAAAATGAATCAGGAACTAATTATGCTCTGCACTCGGTATTAGTAAAATATGTCACCTTGATCGTCGCCTAAGCAGTGCTGTTTCGGATTTATGATTGCACAGGTGGAATCGTTATCAGCCGAGCGGAGAAATGACGCTCGAGGCAGAAAATGACTCAAATCGACGCGAGACCTGGCACTGTGGTACGACGAAACTCCTGATAGGACACGATCGTCATAACAATCGTCGATTCTGATGAAACAGCAGTCGGTTTCTGCGTGGATGTTGGCTTCGATCTGTTATGGATTCTGCGTTCTCATTCATTTCGCAATTATTTGCAAACAGAACGCGACTTCGGCTTGCGACGTGAATTTCACAAACGTTTCGCAACATGTGCTCATATTTTACGAAATCCTATTTAAAACCCTTGACACGCCGTTTCCTTCGCAGTCACCGCGATTAGAAATTGCTCGATATTGCAATAATTTCTTAGAAGCGAAAGAAAATCGATGCTTATCGGGCGCCTGAATTCACTGGAATGGTTGAGAGAACATTGATGACAAGAGATTAGAATTTTATTCCAATGTTGAGAATCGAATTTTAGAAATTTTCTAATGATAAGTAATAATAATTATTATTAAGTAATAATAATAATATCTTTGTCACGAATGTATAAAATTTCACAAATAAATATGATGAAGTTTTAAAGGTTTTTAAATCTTTGTCAGTTCAAATCTCGGAAAATTAATATTTCGTTTCGGAGATTCGAAGGTCAACTTTGTTTGTTATTTTTTTTTTTTAATAGAATATTATAACTTTTGTAATACATCGTGAAACGCCCTCTGTGTGCGCGCGCGCGCGCTTGTAAACAAGGAAAAAAATTCCAGAAAAAAAGCAGTGACAGAGATACTGAAAATGGAGATTTAAGAACCTACCATCCGTTAAGATTAAAGCCATGTAAACCACGAAGGGGTCAAATATAATATATATACGTATATTAAATATAATATATTATATTATATATTATATATAACATATAATATTATATAATATATTATAATATAATATATTCATTATTATTAACATAAAATATCTTATTATTAATAAAAATCAGCTTATTTTTGCCCCCGGCTTTCGTCAGGAAAAAAAGTGTCGTCGAAATGACTTCGATTCGAACCGCAGCGATCTGCAAAGAAAAACCGGTTCGCCGAAAAGCGCGTGAAAGAATCATCCGAACGGATAAATCTTCGGGAAGCTTCTCGACTTTCAAAAAAAGCTTGTGCAACACGTTTCACACGCGTATCGCGCGAACCAACCCAGCCACTCTGCAGTCGATGATGTATCAGCAGCGCCGAATGTGTAATAATAAAATTTGTCGCAAAAGAAACGAACCGCAACGTCGACGTTCTGCGCGGCGCGAGTCTATTTTTGTGCAACATTCGCCAAAAAGAAAAAAAGAAAACGGAAGAAGGAAAGAAAATACAAGAATTTAACGAGCACGCGGTCGATCCGCCGCGCAACGGGTTTCGATGAACGAGAAACAGTATACGATCGACCCATTATCAGCCATAAACGCGCGATAATCTACAGGGTGTCCCAAAAATGTCTCGCAATCCGAAAGTAGGGGATTCCTGAGGTGATTTGAAGCAACTTTTTCCTTAGCGAAAATGCGATCCGCAGCTTCGTTTACGAGTTATTAACGAAAAACCGGTGACCAATCAGAGGCGAGATCGTTTGGCGCGAGACGGCCGAGCCGTTGAGCGGAACCGGGCTCCGCGCGCTCGTTGGCTGGGCCGCCGCGCGCTAACCGAGCTCGCCTTTTATTGGTCAGTGTTTTTCGTTAATAACTCGTGAACGAATCCTCGGAGAAAATGTTCGCGAAGGAAAAAGTTGCTTCGAATCACCTCGGGAACCTCCTGTTTCCGGATTGCGAGACGTTTTCGGGACACCCTGTAGAGAGATCGGTGTCGTGTTCGACTCGCGAAGGAGAGAGGAAAAATCTGAAAATAAGGGATCCGAATTGATCTCATCCTCCATTCGACCGTATTTTACACGCATCCGCAACCGAAGGACAGGTTCGACGAGTCGGCGACGCGAGAAAAACTGGAATCCTTCCCGGACAAGCAATCTCATTCGCGTCGGGAAAAAAAGAAACGATTTCCTACGAGGCGGATTCGCCGCGAATGGATAGAACCTGCGCAACGCAGCCGACGGTTCCTAGGAGAAATTGCTCGGCCGCCTTCGATGCGCCGTCGCCGCTGCGCAGTCGTCTGATTGAGCAGCGCTCCACCAACGGCCGAAATTCAATTTCCCGACGCTTCGACCGGCCGGAGCAATAATAACAATAAAGAGCAATAAATTTATCAGAATTATAATAATATAATTATAATAATATAATATATAATTATAATAATATTATTGACAACATTTATCTCATTTGTATTGTTAATACAGTATAGCACAATTGCTCGATTAGAAAATTGTAGCATAATTGCACTGTGAACATTTTGTTTGTAGTTTAATGTAATTGTCAAAATTTCGACGGAAGACGAACGGCGTTCATTTTTGCACAAATTAGAGTGTAATGCTTTGCAAAATAATATTGTTTTTCATAAAAAAAACCACCGGCCACCTCGACGTAATTAATACATATTAATATTAGTATTAATATGTATATTAATATATATAATATTATATATAATACTATAATATATGTGTGATACTAACGTATAATTGATACTAATTGATACATATTTTTTACTTGATAATATTTTAGTTCGTGACGAGATGATTTCAACGACTACTTTGAAGCTTGAAACAAAACGTTAAAATAATTTTGATCCCTGGAAACGAATTCCCAGACTACTGTGAGTTGGCTGGGACCTCTCTCTCTCTCTCTCTCTCGCGCGCGCGCGCGCTTCTGACTCTCGCGCTTCTGACTCTAGTGCGCTCTCTCTCTCTCTCTCCCTCCCTCCCACCCCTCTCTCTCTTTCTCTCTCACACCGTAAGGCACTCTTAATTCGATTCGAGTCGGTATAATTAAAAGCGACGGTTCGTTTCAGCCAATTGACGCATTCAGCTGTACATACGTGTGTGTGCATCTTTGATGAAGAATGCGACGTGACGTCAGAGCGGAGCGAACGTTTCGGAGTCGACCGTTTGGAAATTAACCCCCAACGAAGGTAACAGACGGGGCTTCGTACCAGCTTGCGAAATAACACATGCCTTGGCTATTATCTGTGCCGTAATGTCGTGCGCCGGTGTGGGTATACACCTCTCTTGCGCAATGTTTGATAAAGAATTACAATCGTGTACCGACGATAATTTTCCGGGTTACGCGGGAAATTACGCGGAAGTCGTGCGGAGCTCGTACCAGGGTTTTTCTTTCCGGGACACGTCGTCGACGTCGCCGCCGACGTCGACGTCGCGCGCGTTCAGTTTCCTTAAATAAACGCGGGGATTTTTATGCAATCCATCGGTTTATTCGACAAGGATACACGGATTATGCAACGTCGATTTAGAGAGAGAGACTTACGTGCATTCGGTGCCGGCGCCATTTTATCTTGTGCATGCGACTTCGACGATGTTTTATTTTGGCCGATTAGAATGCGGATACTCGTGCGAAATGAAAGTGTTTTTTTTTGTGCCCGTCGATTACTAGAGACTGGAAATAAGCAACGACAAAAATTGTTCTTCCATGAACTCGTGCATTATGTTGACAAAATATATGTATACTGGTAGTGTGGAGATCTTTGGGTATTCCCATGGTCAACAAAATAGTAAACAGTTCTATTAATCGGTTGGCTTTACTTATAATTAGTAAGCACTAAGTTCGATTTTTTTTTCATGTTTTGTTTAAATGCGACGCTTTTATAAAATATATTATATATCATATTATATATATATATATATATATATATATATATATCATATATATATATGATATTTTATTAAGTGTTTTATTCTTAATTTTATTCTTGATATTCTTTGTTAAACTATATTACATATTTCTATGAGAGCCACCACAATTCAGAGAACAAATATCAAAGAACAATTCTCGTTACACAATTATTTAAAAAAAAGTCAAATAAAAGAGTATCAATCAGCGAGAATTCACTGTATTCCCCGGTCGGCAGAAAACTTTCAGTACCGAAAGAAACGTCTGTCTTGGCTTGCTTTTCCTGGAACATCGGTCATCGGATGCATCGCTGAACCGCATACCAAACAAATCCGCGCGCACGCACACACACACGCACACACACATACACGGTCGCGCGTGTGTATGCAAGGATACACGATAAACGATATTCAATAAGTGGATCGTACACGTGGTGTCGTAACTGTCGGACGAATTATCTCGTGGAAATGTGACGAACGGCCTACGATAACGTTTCCTTGCTCTGCGGCGGAGGGAGGGGGGGGGGGATGTCGAGCGACGTCGGCAAGGTCATCCATCGCGGGATCCGCACGTTTTATCGACGAACCCTTGAAAAGTAGCCGTGCCGCGGGTGACGCGCAACGTTCGCGCGAAAAACCGCGCGGAACAATCGCGGCGGCGCCTTTTTCTTATTCGCGTTCCGCCGTCGGCGCGCGCGGGCGCACCGACGCTTTTCTTCTTTATCTTTCTTTGCGCTTCGCGGTCGCCTTGACTCCTTTTAAATACTGGTTCCAGGCGGGACGGTAATTTTGTAATGCAGCCGAGGGCACGCGAGTTTTGTTACGCGCCCCGAGGTCGTCCTGGACGTAATACGATCGAACACGCCGCACGGTGTACACCGATATCAAAACCTATTTGCGTTTTGTTTAAACGAGCCGCTTCGAAAAGTGTAGCCGTGTCCGTTATCTCGCCTTTATACCGCGTTTACCTTCTAACCTAGCGCGCGCGCGCCGACTGATTTATTATGAGAAATCGCGGCGCCGTTTCGCGCGTTTTAAATAAATAATTCGAGGATATATATATAAATTAATATTAATATTATATATATATATATAATATTAATATTATAATATAATCCCGAAATTGTAATTGCAATTAAGATCGAAACTGGAAACTTCGAAGCTGTCCCAAACAGTTCCGCCATCTGCCGGTCGCGCCTCGCGTTACCGTCGCGAGCGCGTATCGGGGCGTTTTGTTTGTCGTTCAGCTTTTGACATTACTTTCCCCGCGCGGAATATAATCACGCGGCACACAGCCCAAGGACGCGCGATCCTCGGCTCCGTGTTCCATCTCCAGCGATTATATACGGAACGGGTATCGAAGGAAATGCGTACCTTGCATTCCGGAATGCCGTGGTTGACGAGCAAGGCCAGTCCTTTCTCGGACAGCGCCCTTACCAGCTTCGTGGCCACTTGTTTCACGACACCCTTCTGAGGACATCTCTCGGTGCCTGGAACAAGAAAACGAGAAGTCAGCGAGAGAGAAAATTGAAAAGGGGTGGGGGGGGGCGGACGTGTCTCTCGCCGGCCCGGAGCCCGGCCCGCTCGTTTTCTACCCCCTCCCCTGCCGACGGGACCCGAGCTCGAACGATTTTTCTTATTTATTTCCGTATTCCTCTACAGGGCGTCCGAAAAATGTCTCGCAATCCGAAAGTGACGGGTTCCTTGGGTCATTCGAAGCAACTTTTTCCTTTACAAAAATTTTCTCCGAGGCACCGTTAACGAGTTATTAACGAAAAAACAGTGACCAATGAGAGGCGAGCTCGGCTGGCGCGAGGCGACCGAACCAATGAGCGGAACTAGGCTTCGCGCGCCGGTTGGCCGGGCCGCCTCGCGTCAGCCGTACTCGATTCTTATTGGTCACTGTTTTTTCGTTGATAACTCGTTAACGGTGCGAAACGCAAAAAATATGCTAATCATTATACCGTGCTTTTAATACTAAAAAAAAAAGATTCAAGTCTCTTAGACCAGTTTGTAAAATTGTAAAATTGTTATCTCGTTTTATACAATTAATTGCTCAATTCGTTCTTCAATTAGTTCTAAAATAAAATAATCTAAATAAAATTTCTAATCTAAATAAAATTTCTACTCTAAATAAAATGAATTCTAAAATAAAGACACGATATAACCGTAACGTTTCAAATAAGTTTGTGACATCAATCGCCAATGAAATGTACACAGTCGTGACAAAACTGAACGTCGAATCAACGTCGACATTGGCGCGAAAGGGGTTAAGGCAATGCGCCGCGCAGAAATGGAATGGCGAACGCGCGGCGACGCCACTAACGGACTAATATTTGCCGACGCAACGATCCTTTTCATTAGCGTAGAAAGAGGGAAACGAGAGCGAGGATAACGGCCACACGAACGCCGTCTCTCTAAGATTTTCCTTTCTTTCACCGCGTCAGAGACACCGGCGTGACTTCGTCGTGAAATTATCGCCGCGACACCCTGTAGAATATTTTACGATCGTCGCGCGTCGTATCGAGAGCGTATGACGCTCTCTCTCTCTCTCTCTCTCTCTCTCTCTCTCTCTCTCTCTCTGTTAACGGCTCCACGACGCGCCGATAGTACGAAATCTCTCCCCTTTTCCTCCCTCCTACCCAAATATCGATTATTTCATTCAGGGAACAGCCATTCATTGATACGCTATCAAAAGCATAACCGTCTTCGAGAAGAAATCATTTTCTTTTTTCGGCCGATAGCGTGGTTGGAAAGAGAAGCTTATTTCTATCTCTCCTCCGATCTTCTGTTTCGTTGAACTTGGAGATAGTCAAATACTCTAAGCAAGGACTAGGGGACGTCTTCCCGCCTGCGCTTCTACTCGACGGCGGTCGGCTCCCCCCACCATCGGGCTACTCCACGCCACGTTGACCGTCGCGTGCGTGGGGCGAGGTGTCAGACGTCGGCGTGGTGGGGGAAGCCTGCGCGAGAGGAGCGGTGGCTCGCGGGTCGCCGGTTTCCCGGGTCTGCTCTCTAAGCAAATAATTCTTTGGAAATGAATTCTCGAGCGAGAACAATTCTTCATAATTTCTGATCTTTCAATTTCTAGTATTTAACATGCTGGAAGTCGTTGTTCTTGAATTAGTAGCAGAGACGTTTTATTTAACGGCTGTTATAGTGAAAGAATTTCTATTGTAAAATCTCCCCATTTGCATATTGATACACATTTAATTTATCATTTGCTCGATACACATTTAATCGTATCCGTAACGCGATTAAATTGTACGAAAAATATTTTTAACTCGCATTAAATGTAGACACGATTTTGTCATTATCTGTGTTTACGTTACGTCTTATTTGTCTCTGTTCTTCTTGTTAGCTCTTTTTTTTAAAGGGTGTTCAATCTTCTTGTCTGTATCCGGTTCGAAAGAATCTGTAATGCCGTTCGGTAATTAAGTTAATAACTAATTAATTTAATAAAAACGTTGAGAAACTTTGCGTACCGTTAACATTTGACCAAATTTCACATTTTAACGAATATGTACACGTTTCATTAAATTTCATTAAATTAAATGTACATATCAAGTTTCAGTTTTTCGTTGAACACGATTTTTAAACTGTTCGATCGATCAACTTGTCCTTCGGCGCGCATCTGCGAAACTGAATTCGTAACGATAGCAAATTGAGCAATTATTTTTACATAAATAAGATAAAGATTCATGAGGATGACGTCAATGATTTTATTTCTGTCAAACAAACAGTATTCCGTCATCCCTCCTGCAATATTCTGTCGGTCCGATATTTTCCACGAAGATTGCGCGCAACGTTTTTTTTTTTTACATAAAAATCCTTCGTTAATTAGACGATTACACGTTGCAGAAACAAAGTGAAAATGCTATTAAACTTTGTCGACTTATATGTGAATGTATATATAATATATTAACAATATTATTATGCTGTAATAATAATATTATACAATATAATATATACATATATAATTATTAAATAATACTATAATAACTCGTAAATGTATCTTTACGATACGAATAATCACAAACGAAAAAATTAGTGAACTCGTAATGTTTCCGTAAATCGAACTTCAAATTTCGACTCGTTGCTGCGCAATTTTGGCGCGACGCTTTCCGCAACGGGCGAGAGACCGAAGATCGAACGTTATTATTGGCGACGAACGGCTCTGCCCGCGGCTGCATTCGTTGATCTTTTTTTATCCGGTTCGTTAAACTCTGCGACGATCGTCGGCTTCTCGCGCGCTTTACGCGGCAATCTGCATTAATTGAAAGAACTTGATCGCGCGCCTCGGAGGATCGCACGGTAGCTGGAAACCGTTCGTTCTAGTCCACCGTTGCTCTCATGGATTATATATATATATATATATATATATATATATAATATAATAATAATAATAATTATATTAATATTATTAAATTATTATAATATTAATTTAATATATTATTGTATATTATAATAATAATAACAATAATTATTATATATAATTAATATAATAAAAATAAATAAATTATTATATATAATTAATATAATAAAAATAAATAAATTATATAATATATATAATAAATATATTAATATTATAATAATTTAATTAATTTTCTTTTTTATACATATATGTATGTATGTATGTTTGTACTTATTCCACGTTTAATAATCGCGAGGATATTTGTTTCGAAAGTGTTAGTGATTTATTGCTCGAGTTGCTCCATCGGTAGGCTTCCGATCGTAAATAACCGCGTATCGGAATTTTCGCTATCAATTGGCATTATTTTTAACCCCGTGGTTCAAAAATATCCTCTTAAACGTGTAATAATAATACTTCAGATGTGTACGGTGGAAAAGCCCCGATTATCCGGAACCCGATCTAAAGGAGAGCTTAAATGCCGTCGGATTAGAAGGCAATTTAATTAATAAATAAACCTGACATTTTTACCGCGTTCTACGATTAATATGTGGGAATTAGTTGTATGCGGAACGAATTAGAATGATCGATCGGTCGGACGTTGGTAATCCGGATAATTCGAATACCGATGTAAGTTCTCTCCCTAATTGTCGCCTCAGCTTGTACACACAAAATAGAAAATTCAGGGAGAGGTGATATGATTATTTCATGTTTTTGTAGTTACCGGTTGTCAAGGTTATGTCAACAACTGTAGAAACGAGCCGCGAGACTAATCGTACCCCCCCCCCCCTCCATTCCCAAATTGTCCACATTTTTGTTTCCAAGCTGAGCGTCAATTAGGGAGAATTTATTTTTTATTTCACAATTTTTGAAATATAGAAAATTCTTTCTATGGGAAACTACTCGTTGAGAAATTTCTTCATTCAAGGATGTATTGTAGTACAACCCCTAGCAAAAGGTATTGGTTCACCTTTTAAAATGCAATAACTTCTTTAAAATGCGATGACTTTCTTAAAACTCCACTAAACGGCTTGGCTTTCTTTTAAATGTTGAAGGGACAATATTTCAAATTCTTTCGGAACATTTATTTAAAAACTCCCAATGAAATAAATAAAACACCGAATTATATGCTACACTCATTTAACAATATTATGTAATATTATTTATAAATTCAAGGAACGTTACGGAAAGCAAATTATAAGTGTTATAGTTTTGTTAGAAATATTGAACGAAAACCACCGCTTCTGCAAATTGAATTCACTTATTTGAATTAACCCTCAAAATTGGCGGAGATGAATAATTCCTAATAATATTATTTTATAAATATTAATAATATTATCTTAATCATATTAAAGTGTTAAAGAATAAAATTCATACAATATTAATGCGCGGATTAATTTCAATCGCAATACCTCTGTAATTAGTCTCATTAATGTTTCAATAGTTCTAATGTCAAAACTATCATATAAAAGTTTGTGCGAAAGTATTGTGAATTAATTATGAATCATGAGAGAAGGTTTCCATCGCATTATTGCAATAATACCATAGTATAAATACACACACAAGCTGCTGTTTCAACAAAACATCAAAGAAGCAGAAGACGATCGAAAGAGACTTTTCGTTTCGCTTGCAAAGAGTGTCAATGGAAATCTTTGTGTATTCTGCCAGCCGTGTGTATCCCGCACGTGTGTTTCTTGGCGCGAAGGATTTATTATTCGAGCCTCTTGTGATGTGATAAAGGTCACCGGCTCGAAGAGGTCTCTAATCTTTAATGGGACCCGCCGAGGATAACGCAACCACACGATATATTTGCATGCGCCTTGATTCATCGAATAATCCTTGAACGACGAGGTTAAGAGCGTTTACCTTCCGACAAACGCGGCATATTGATCGCGCCGGCAAAATACAGGGTGTCCCAAAAATGTCTCGCAATCCGGAAATGGCGGGTTCCTCGGGTCGTTCGAAGCAACTTTTTCCTTTACAAAAATGTTCTCCGAGGCACCGTTAACGAGTTATCAACGAAAAAGCAGCGACCAATAAGAATCGAGTACGGCTGACGCGAGGCGGCCCGGCCAACCGGCGCGCGAAGCCCACTTCCGCTCATTGGCTCGGTCGCCTCGCGCCAGCCGAGCTCGCCTCTCATTGGTCGCTGTTTTTCGTTGATAACTCGTTAACGGCGCCTCGGAGAAAATTTTTGTAAAGGAAAAAGTTGCTTCGAACGACCCGAGGAACCCGTCACTTTCGGATTGCGAGACATTTTTGGGACAGCCTGTATATTAAAGTATCAATGATTTAGTGTCGCAGTATTAATATTAGAATGTATTTAGTGTCGCGCAAAGCGTTAATATGTCGATCGTCGCGCGTACGATCATCGCGGTCGATTTCAATGCGGTGCACCTTGCGCCGAGTGCACGTATTATTGCGGCCGCGGCGTGAATCTTTACGCGTCTCTTTCACGACGGGTGTCGCGCGCGAGAAGTGAAATCAACTTCTCACGATCGAAAAAGTCACGAGAAAGCACCGGTGGTGGCCACGTGTCGCGGTAACAAGATCGGCGAACAAGCTGCGAGCCGTGGTAAGAAGGCGCAGGCGAGTGCACTGTACACGAATCGCGATAACGCGTTGTTATCACCATCTGGCGAAATACGAGAACGAGCCTGGATGCTCCTTATACAATTCGACGTTTCCGTTGGTGTGTGCGCGTGTATGTATATCGCTTATTCGTTTCTCTGAAAGGAAGCAGATCCTTTTTTGTCATGTTATTCCCTTTGGCAAAAATGAAATTGATTTTATTCTAAAATTAATTAATTTTATTGTTTATTATAATTATATTATTACATATTATTATATATTTTTATTATATATTATTATTATCTATTATTATATATTATTATTACGTTATTATATATTATCATTATAAAGAGTGTTCAGTATTTAGTTTGAAAATGACATGTTCTCCAAAGTATTTTCATTGATTAGTTCGAATTTTAATACTAGTTCTAAGTTTATGCATAAGTACACGTATGTGTATACAAGATGTCCGAAAATTATGTTACTTGAAAAGGGAGGTTCCAGAGGTCATTTGAAGCAACTTTTTCCTTTACGAAAATTTTCTCCGAGGCGTCGTTAACGAGTTATTAACGAAAAACACTGACCAATGAGAGGCATGCTCGCGCAGCGCTAGGCGGCCGCGCCAATCGGCGGAACTGGGCGTCGACCGCTCTTTGGCTCGGACGCCTCGCGCCAGCTGATCTCGACTCTGATTGGTCAACGTTTTTCATTAATAACTCGTAAACGAAGCCGCGGATCGCATTTTCGCTGAGGAAAAAGTTGCTTCAAATGATCTCGGGAATCCCTCGCTTCTACTTTAATATTCTTTTTATTCCACGTAATAGCAAAATTAAAAAAATAATGTATTTATTCATTGCACGGTGAACTAGTTCCACTAATATTTACAGAAAAATGTTTAATCTTAAAAAAATTGTACCGTTTTAAAAGGCGTTGAGTTACTGTAACTGTAACATCAGAACTAATTAATAATTTCAAGTTTTTGTTGAAGATCCGATCCAAAGACGAACGCAATCGTTAAGAAAAATATTGCATACGGTGATAAACATTCGAGGAAACATATGATTTCACTGTGTTTTTTGTTCCTGCGAAATTGCTGACGTAACGAAACCGATGATTAAAATTAGACTCGCACAGCTTGCATTTTTTTTTGTTCGTTCATTGTTCCCATGGGAACAATGCATTGGCGAAATTATCATTCGGTAACGTTGGCGTCTATTAATAAATGCCACGGAAACGCGGTGCCTCATCGTGAATTAGCGTGCATCACGTATTTGAGAATAGTTGAAGCGCTATAAATCGGGGAGGGGGAGGGGGGCGGCGTGAATCATGATACAGTAAATTCTCCGTAATTGATGCACGAATTGCGCACATTGGGAATCCTCTTCCCAAATTGGAATTTCGCCCTGTATTTTGCTACCTTTTCATCCTAATTGTGTTAAATAATATTAATAACACTAGTTAATATAATGTATGATAATTAATATAATATTCAGTCCACCGAATATAATAATAACCCAAATAATATAACCTAGTTATTATAATATATAATAACAATAATATTAAGTTAATATAATATATGATAATTAATATAATATCAGTCCACTGAATATAATAATAACCTAAATAAAATAACCTACAACCGAAAATTTCCGTACGAGATCAGTCAAGATCGTCGCATCATGTTTCAACATTCGAAATAAATGCACGGTTTTCAAAGCACGTTAGAAATCTGTTGTTTTTTTTCCCTTGAACTCGCCCGGAACTCGGACGGAATTGCCTATCGTAGATCACTGCCGCGTTAAAACATTCGCCGCGCGAACTTTATCTCCTTGAATCGCAAATATCTGCGAATAAAGGAAGCAAGGAATAACATAATCCGAGCAGGTAAACAAGATTTAACGTTTCCGGAAGACCGAGAACGTAGGAAGAGTTTCTCCATGGACGATCGGAGCGCACGCACGCCAGTGAAAAGTGAAGGTGACCGCTCACACAATGAGACAAAACGTGATCCCGTTACCGCACCTTCTTTGCTACCTTTTTATTCTAATTGTTAAATTAAATAACATTAATAATATTAGTCAATATAATATATGATAATTAATATAATATTGAGTCCACTGAATGTAATAATAACCTAAATAAAATAACCTAGTTATTATAATATATATAATAATAATAATATTATTATTATTATTAAGTTAATATAATATATGTAATAATTAATATAATATTCAATCCACTGAATAAAATAGTAACCTAAATAAAATAACGTACAACCGAAAACCGATGTTATTCCTTCTTTTTTTCTTTATGTTTACGCTACGCAAAGGCTGCAGCTAATTACGGGTGCCGAAGAAAAAAATCGAAACGGTCACCTCGAACTGGTTCGACCCGGAACGCCGATCGTTGTAAACAATTCGCCGGGAAACAATTTCCAATCTTTTTTTTTCACGCGGCCCGTGACTCACTCACTCACTCACTTCCTTACGCAATGTCGGAAGCTCGAGAATAGGGTGCAGAGCGCCGTGTTTCAAATTTTCACGATCTTGGCAGTGTTTTCATCGGTACTACGTTCGAAACGTATTTCATCGTGATGCACAATATTTGTTGTTCGTTCGGATTGATGCTCGTTTACGTCAACGCTTGATATTATGGCAGCTCGCACGTGTGTGCGATGCTTTAATAATTATGCAGGTGATCGCTTTAACAATTATCACGCAAAGGAAAAATATTATATTTGTTAAAATTAAAATATCTCCTGAACTAATGATTTTTTAAAAACATTTACCTTTTTGTAAAGAATATTAAGATGCATGGACTGATGCAATAAAAAATATACGATTCCGTTTAAAAAAACGTTAATGGCCTTCACGTGTCCGCCGCGCCTCCATCTTGCAGAAAACTTTATTATTTTCAAATTGCGTCCATTTCAGTTTCAAAGCCGAGCGCGTCAATTAGGGAGAGACACGGCGCGCGCGGCTAAGCTCGGTCGATTTAACCGATGCCGAGAAAATCCACGCGATCTTTACGGAGAGATCTCCGGTAAGAGCCCCGTTCGTCGGATAATAGTCGACGAAGGCGAAGGTCTTTTGTCACATGGTGTCGTAAATCGTTCCGCCGCGGCAGCTGCTGCTGCTGAAGAGAGAGACCGGCCGGGCCGCCGCCGCCGCCGCGTGATCGCATAACCGTAAATCTCCCGATGGAAATCCAATGCAAATACCGGCCCGTCGATCTACGGGCGAATTTTCCGCGTGCGCCGTTCTCCCCCCCACTCCCACTCCGCGCCCGTTTCACTCTCCGTTCACGTGAATAGGCACGGCGGTGCAGGCTTGTGACACACGCCGAGGAGTTGCGCGACACTCAATCGTTTCGCAAACTTTCGACGATAAACTGTCTCTCTGTTTCTCTTTAACGCGACGCGACGCAACTTTATCTCGCCGAGCGCGAGAGCAATTTACGATAGAACGGCGAATTTGATTGTTCGCCGCGCAAGACGAAGTTGTTAGAAAAGATATAACGTATATATACAGGGTGTCCCAAAAATGTCTCGCAAACCGAAAGTGGCGAGTTCCTCGGGTCGTTCGAAGCAACTTTTTACTTTACAAAAATTTTCTCCGAGGCACCGTTAACGAGTTATTAACGAAGAACAGTGACCAATGAGAGGCGAGCTCGGCTGGCGCGTGGCGACCGAGCCAATGAGCGGAACTGGGCTTCGCGCGCCGGTTGGCCGGGCCGCCTCGCGTCAGCCGTACTCGATTCTTATTGGTCGCTGTTCTTTCGTTGATAACTCGTTAACGGTGCCTCGGAGAACATTTTTGTAAAGGAAGAAGTTGCTTCGAATGATCCGAGGAACCCGTCATTTCCATTTGGGACACCCTGTCTGTTGTATACCGATTTCTAGCCGGTTCTCGCGGAGCCGAATCGAACGCGGAATTATCTCACGATTTATCTTGGCTCCCGTCGCAATGGTGATAATAATAATAATAATAACGATGCTCTCTCTCTCTCTCTCTCTCTTTACCGGCTGAACTTTTGAGCTCGTTCCGTAGCTTCGTTCTGTATCTTTCTCTCGTTGCAATCTTCTTCGGTTTACGAGAGGACCACTTGAGATCGCTTTAACCCGTAGAAAGCGGCGTCGTAATTTCGTTTAACGAACGGTGTGTCGCTTGTTCGGGACAGATATCTCGTGCTCGAACTTTCTTAGATCGGCGAAGAGTATGTGGAACCATTTATTATGTATTTTATTATACATTTATTATTATTATATATATATTTATTATCTTTATTATATTTACTATATTTCTAGTATTTACTATCTTTAACATATTTATTATCTTTATTATATATTATTTGTTATATATAATATACATTATATCTTTGTGAAAGAAAAAAAATCGAAAAAAAACCAGTTCCAGTATTAAATACAATTCAATCGAAAAGAATTGTAGAATGTAGATCTTGCTTAAGGTTATGTCAAGGTTAAATTTCGTTTGAACAATATGAAAAGAAAATAGTGAACGAAAAACAACCTTGACAAACCACGTGGAATTACGCTCGCGTGAAGAAGGACAAAACACGAAGCACCGTCAAGGTGAAAAGAACATCTGAAGATATCTTGTCGTCGCGATAACAGTAAAAAAAGAAAAAAAAAAGAAAAAGGAGAATGATCCAGCGACTTTTGGTGTACATAACACGCGCGTACGTAGAGCCTTAAAAATTCCGTGACAAACGGACTCTGGTCTAAAACCATATTGTCTAGTCGCCTTGTTTCGAATGTATTTTAAGCTGCTGACGAAGCTATTCGAACGGACTTTAAGGGTTTATGCTCGATGAGAAATTGTAAAAAAAAAAAAAAAAGAAAGAGGAAGAAGAAAAACGGCCCCTTTCGAACAGGCCCAAAGCGGTCGTAAAATGGCTTCTAGAGGAAATTTTCCTCGGTGAAAAGGGTCCCTTAGGGTAGATATTGCTAATGACAGCCCCCCTCCCCCCGAGCTGGCACTCTAAGATTATTATTTAATTACCCTAGGTCGTAAATTGCATGCTGCTGCCGTCGGGGACTTACCAGGGCCTCGGTCCGAAAAGTAATTAGTTACGGCTGTCCTAAGCTTCTCGCATTTAAAGTGACAGCCGACCAGGGATTACAAAATAAATAAATAAATAAATTTCGAAAGTAACTGCTTCGGACGGTTGTTATATCGGTACTGACTGTTAAACAGTTACGGGGAACCGAAAAAGTTTCACAACAGACGACGACGCTCAGAAGACGACGCTTTAGAAGAGGATAAAAAATGGATAATTTGCCTTGCGGCTCGTTTTTATAATTGTGGACAATTTATAACTATAAAAATGACCCGCAAGGATCGAATAATCATGTCGTCCAAGATGGACGCCACTCTGTCCAGCGTGCACGCGGGCTTTTAAACGGATTCGGGGCTGCTGCGTCGAAGGCGTGCACATTAATCGGCCGAATGTGACGGTGAATAATCATATGAAAAGGTGTCGCCGCACCGGTAACAGGTATATATATATATGTATATATTCGATCGTTATGTATCGGGCGAAAGTATCAGTGCGACTGCCGCTGCCAGGAGAAACCGGCGAAAATTTTCTCCTCGCGGCGTTTGCACCCTAGAAACTCGGGCTTAGGTCGGTACTAATACCCGGGGAATTACGAGTGTTTCAAATATTGGTAGATCTGTCTGTCTGTTCTATTCACGGGTCGAAAGTGTGCTCGCTCGGATCTCCCGAGCCTCTCGGACCGGCGGCGACGCGTTCCTTTGTACAGTGACCCGCAAAAGTATTGGCGCGCTTTTTAAAACGTGATAAGTATATTTTAAAATTCAACTAAATAACTTGAATTTTTGTTTGGGTCTAATAAGCGACGACTGAAATACTTTTCTTTTTAATTTTGCTGTTACAGTAATTTAAAATATTAAGCAATAAATATTGTATGTTAATATTATATTAATATTATAGTATTATAATATATAATATTATTACTATTATTAATAATATTATATACTACAATATTATTATTATTATTATTAATATTATATACTACAATATTATTATTATTATTATTAATATTATATATATAATATAGTATATATAGTATAAACGAGCCGCTCGAATAATCGTATCTCCTCTTCCGAAATTGTCCATTATCGTGCGCAATCTGAGCGCGAATAAGGGAGAAATTGCTCAAAAAGTTTCGACGGTCGGCTCTCGAAATAAAATTTGCTTCGCGTCGAAAAAAATTCGAATTAAAGGTCTGCGAGCACGCTGCCAGTATTTGATTCGATGATTCATACGGTTCGCGACTAGAAAACGAAAATATTGACTGAAATGACACGGTAGTATCAGCTTTGCGCGAAATAATCTAGACCACGAGGGGAGGGGGGGGGGGGGGACCT